ATTGTGGAATGTTCCATATCTATCAATTCAAATGATTTTTTTGGATCACAGGTAAATGTGTTTAACTGTCAAATTTGTAAGCTCAATATGGAAGGTGTAAAAAGGTTAGCTGCTCTTATAACATCAGTACTAAAGAGGTCTGAGTATGTGAACATATGGTTTTTTCTCTGTCATGCAAATCTATTAAGAAAAGCATGTTAGATAATGGTCAGGTAGGGGCACTGAGACAAAAGATACAGAATTTTTCTAACTTTACAGATGTGAAAAATGACTTCTGACATTTTTGTCGTTGAGAGATATAGGCAGACTTAATGCAAACATGAAGTTGCGGATTGAAGGCAGACATATTTCTGAGGAGTCAAACTCCAAGCTGATGGTGAGGAGCTGCAGAAAGCTCACAAAACCAAAATGAGTGCATAAAAAAGCATCAGGTGAACTTCAGTGTCGATAGATACTTGTGGGGAACAGTAGCCTCAACTTTACATACTTCAGATCAAGTACTGTGTAGGTCTTACAATTTTGGCAAAGAAACCTTGGACTCATTGCAGATAGTGCTCTAAAAAGATCATTATAAAATGTAGTGGCAACCTAAAAAGCAAATAAACTTAATTATTGAACTATCAGAGGTCAGGAAAACAGACCTTATGGTGAGAGGCTGAGAGCTATGGGACTCTTCAGCCTGGAAAAGTGCAGGCTCAGGGGTGATCTGGTGGCTGCCTGTAAGTTTATTGGGGTGCTCACCAGGATCTGGGGGAACATCTGTCCACCAGAGTGCCCCAAGGGATGATAAGGTCAAACGGTCTCAAACTCCTCCCAGACCATTTGAGGCTGGACATAAGGAAGAACTTCTTTACTGTCTGAGCCTCCAAGGTCTGAAATAGACTGCCACCAGAGGTGGTTCAAGTATCTACTTTGAACACCTTCAAGAGACATTGGGATGTTTAACTTGCTGGGATCCTCTGACCCCTGCTGACTTCCTGCCCCTCAGGTAGGGGACTGGACTCTAAGATCTTACAAGGTCCCTTCCAGCCCTAACATCTATGAAACTTGTCTACATGTGTCCCTACAGCAATGTTGCTACTGTGCTGTGCTTTAGTACTTCCTTTTGCTGCCATGCTTTAGTACTTCCTTTTGGAAGTTCATTTTAGTACTTTATGGAAGTACTAAAGCACAGTGCAGCAGCAATGTCACCGTACGGGTACGTGTAGATGCCTTCTCCTATTCGGAAGTACTAAAGCACAGTGCAGTAGCAGCCTGTACTGCGCCGTACACCAGGCACAGTTATTTTTAGCTGCTAGTTCACTGTAGTGGCACACTATAACAGAGCACACCGCTATGGTGAAATAGATGCTGGTCACATGTAGATGCATGTGGTTGCTATGTTGCCATAGCACATTGCTAAAATGATGTGGTGTTGTAAGTAGATGCACCCATTAAGGAGTTGAAAACAAAAGTGAGAACAGCACGCCACTTAATAAATTCACATCTTGAATGCTGTGTGCAGTTCTGGCATATATCCCCAAAAAGGATATAGTAAAATTAGAAAAAGGACTGAGAAGGACAAACCAGCATGATCAGGGGTATGAAGCAGCTACTGTATCAGAAGAGACTGAAAAGGCTAGGCCTCTTTAGTTTGGAAACAAGGAAGTTGAGAGGGGATATAATAGAGGTCTATAATTGGGTCTGTCTACCTGAAGGGGGTTGGTTCAAGTTTCAGGTGTGGCATGTTGAGGCCTGGGGTACATCCATGAGGTGTGTGGCCTGGGAAGGCTGTAGCTTTTCTTGTGTGGCTTATGGGGCATGTGACTCCCGTGGTGCATCCTGTAGGGCATGTGGCCCCTGACCCCTTGGAAGTTGGACAGCCTTGGTGTACAAGATCATGAAGGGTGTCCATAAAGTGAATAAGAATTGTTATTCACCAAGTCTCAAAATACTAAAATAAAACTCATGCCATGGGTGCTTGTGGGACTGACTCTCTCTGTCTTGGGGCAGTTGATTGTCAGTATTGATTATTTCCTCTCCTTAGTCTGGTTTTGTAGGTGCTAATTGATAGAAATTAACTGGCTACATTAGCTAGGTCCTGTGTATTGAGCTGGTCCCTGTGTGAATCATGATTGGTTGGTAACTGGTAACAGTAGCTTAGCAGCCAGGCCTGCAGTAGTGTCTCCCATGCACCAAGACACACAGTCAGTCCCACAAGCACCCATGTCGTGAGTTTTGCCTGTCAGCAGCTAGGGGTGCAGGGCTCCAAAATCCCCCCTGCACTGATCTTGACAGCTGGCAGGCGTCATGGCCACAGCAGGGGCCACCATCCCTGCAGCTGTCACCCCGCTGCGTCTTAACACACGTCACCCATGGCACAATTTTTACTTGTCTGCAGCTTGAGGGCAGTTTCCCCCAACCAATCTTCTTGAACCTTGGCAGGGTTTGTGACCTCAGCAAGAGCTACCAGGCTTGCAGTTTTGACCCCCCTGTGGTGTAACACATAGACGTGACACGAGTTTTGCTTTCAAGAATTTGGGGTGCAGTTCCCCCCAACCTCTGCACTGATCTTCTTGAAACTTGGCAGGCTTTGTGGTCTCACCAGGGGCCACCACTCCTGCAGTTCTCACCCCCCCTTGTTGTAACACCTAGACGTGACAGGAGATTTGCTTTTAAGAATTTGGGGTGCAGTTCCCCCAAAACGCCTGCACCAGTCTTCTCAAAACTTGGCAGGCTTAATGCTCTCTGCAGAGTTTACCACCCCTGAAAATTTCATCCAAATCAGACAAAAAACAACAAAGCTATAGCTATTTTATTGTTTCCCCATTATACCCTATGGCCGGAGCTCTGAGGCAGCGCTTCGACCTGGATGTGCCACTTCAGACAAAAAGCGTCCAAAGCTTCTCCAGATCTGAAGCTCTGTCTGAAGGCTTGCACAGCCCTATTGGCAAGGTGGGGCCTCATGACTAACTCCAGGAGGCAGAGGGATACAGGTGAATGGGGGCTATCTTCCACAGGACCTGTTATATGTAAGCAAGGGATGTGGGCAGTGGGATAGTTTCATAGTTTCTAGGGTTGGAAGGGACCTGA